GCTCACTGGCTGAGCGCGGTGCGGACGCGACACCGAGGGTTGTGATCCCATTACCAGTCAGTAAAAAAAGACAAAAAGGAAAAAGAAAAAAAAAGAAAAATCCCTCTGGGCCCTCAGGGCACAGCAGGAGCAGACAGCCCAAAAAATGGGCAGGAGCTCAGTATCTATGGCCCTGCAGTCTTCTCCGCCTCAGTAAATGCCACACGCCTACCCAGGTACTTGGCCAAAAACCTAGGAGTCTCCTTTGAGTTCTCTCCCCAACCACTAACCAAGTCCACTCTACTAGGGAGTCCCAGGGCCCCATGCCCAGAACACATCTGGAATCTGACCACCATTCATACCTTCACTGGTAGCAGCTTGTCCCAGCCTCCAACTGCCCCTGACATAGCTGGTCTGTCCACTGCCACTTCACCCATTCCCCAGTGGCCAGAGGGGAGACCAGCTGCCCCAGGGACAGTTGGAGCCTGGGATTATATCCTACCTCTGCTCAAAGCTCTCCAGAGGCCCTTCCTCATTCTCTGAACAAACCCCAAGACTCCATCTGCAGCCCAGGGCCTGCAGGCCGTCACCCCTGCATCTCCCGGCCTTTTCTGTTGCGGGACACTCCTCCACCTTCTCTGCCTTGGGAACTGTACTTTGTTCTGCAGCCATCCTCACTCTGGCTCGGGTCCCAGCTCTGTGCCACCTCCTCAGAGGTGTCCCCTCACCACGCTGGCTGGTGAGCATCCCTCGCCTGCCCCATTGACTTTCCTGCTCTCAGGTGGTCTTCTTTGTTTACCACCTGTATCGGAACTTCCGTGAGGATCTGAATCTGTCCTATGCCCTGTGCCTGGCACTAAATAGGCACTCAAGAGTTGTCAGATGAATGAGTGAACAAGGGGCCTTGCCTAAGCTGTCCCTCTGCTAGCCTTGTCTGCCCCTCCCAGGAGGGAATCACAGCCCCCACCCCCTCCGCAGGAGGCATGATCAGCTTTGACGTCTTCCCTGAGGGCTGGGACAAGCGCTACTGCCTGGACAGCCTGGACCAGGACAGCTTTGAAACCATCCACTTCTTTGGGAATGAGACCAACCCTGTGAGTGTGGCCCAGCTCAGGTTCCCCCCAACTCAAGTCACCCAAGGTCAAGGCCTGGACACAGGGCAACAGCATAGATCTCTTTGGGCTCCTGGAGAACAGCCAGTGCTCACCAGCCCCATTACACAGATTGAAAGGCTGGGGCCCAGAGAGGGCTGGACACTTGTTCCATGTCAGAGCAAGGCAGGGCAGGTCTGGCAAGGGCTGAGAAGGTGGGCTTCCTGGTGGTTCTGTAAGAGGGGCAGCTCTGTGTGGGGAGGGACCTCTGTGCCAGGGTGGCCGCTAGGCTCCAACTCTGGGAGCCTTCTCCAGGCAACACCAAAATATGTGCTTTTTCTGCCTTTTGTGTGCAGGGTGGGAATGACTTTGAGATCTACGCCGACCCCCGGACTGTCGGCCACAGTGTTGTCTCCCCTCAGGACACAGTGCGGCGATGCCGAGAGATTTTCTTCCCAGAGACAGCTCATGAGGCGTGACCAGGGCCTGCATCTGTGCATCTGACTTCTGAAGAGCTCTGCCCAGGCCTACAGAGAGGCCCTGGTGTTGGATGAGATGCCAGGGCCCCTCCTCCACTGGCCCAGGACGCCTGCCTCGTCGTGTACCTGCTGCAAGACCCCCCCCAGCCAGTCAGCTCTTGGTGGGACTGGCCCCTGTCCTCCCAGGGCCCAGAATGTCCCCGGTTCTCCACCTTGATGGCCCTGACCGCAGCTGCTGCTTGTACTTCTGAGCAGAATAGGTGTCTAGCCATGCTGGGAAGAGGCGTGTGCGAATGTCAGTACAAGATTGAGTCCATCCTGCCTTCCCGCCCCAACAGATGGGGTGCTGAGTGGGAAGGTACATATTTTAGAGAACTTTATGTCCCAAGTATTATTAAAGTTCTCAGAACAAGATATGGCATCAGTTGCGTTGAATGGATAATTGGTCCTAGTCACATGCTGTTATGGGTTTCCGTAGTGTAGTGGTTATCGCCTTTGCCTCACACATGCTGTTATGACCACCATTTTGCAGATGAGGAAACAGGCTCAGAGGGGCAGGGACTTGGCCCAAGTCACACAAGAAGTTATCAGTCCAGTAGAGGAGGGGATGTTGAAGCCCCAAACAAGGGCCGGTGTGTCTTGTACTCCCCCAGCCCCTTCTCCTGGGACCCAGACAGACAGAGGCAGCTCTGGGCCATGGTGGGTCACAGTTGAGGGTTTATTGCCAGTGTTAGGAAGGATGGGGAGTCCGGGTGTCTGGGGTTCTCGGGAGGGTTTCTGACTGGGCACTGCAGGGCCCGTGAGTGAGAGCTGCTGCCACCCAGGTGCCCTCCAGGTTGATGCCACAACATCTTGCCTGCTGGCTGGTGCCTGAAAAGGGGGCCTCCTCACCGGGGGAAAGCCTTGGGGGGCCATCAGGAGTCAATCTGTGTCTACCATCCCTCTGCCAAGGGGTCTGGGGGTCCCTGTTTCTCAGGGGACAGGCCTTGCTCCAGCCTAGCACAGGATGGGGCGTCAGACAAGCTGGGCCTTCTCAGTTTGGGGGGGTGGCCAGCACATCTCAGCAGCTCTGGGCTCCCAGCCTCTGTGTGGTGGGCACCAAGGCAGCGGTGAGATGCAGATACCCCAGCTGATCTCTACTCTGGGATCTTGGGACACCTACATGGCTGGGGATCCTCCTAGACAGTCCCTGACCCCCTCACTCGGCATCGGAGCCTCTAATTTCACTCACAGACTAGGTCTCATAAGGGTCACCATCCCTGCTAGGTCCTCCCTTGAACCTGTGACCCCATTTTCCTCTAGAAGGGAGTGATGGGCAGGGGGCAGGGAGAGGAGGCAGGTGGAGCCCCTCCTTCCTGGCTTCCCGGGCCAGACACATCTTCAGGGATGGACAAGAAAAGGGCCACACCTCAGCCACCAGCCTGGCAGGCGCCAGTGGGAGCCACCCGTTCTGCGGCTTTGGGAAGAGGATCTGGCATGGAGGTTGCAGAGCCGGTGGTCTCCCAGGCTGAGGGCCACCCGTCCTTGTGGGTACCTGAGCCTGGCCCTGCTTGAGGGGACGTGTGTTGTCTACCACAGCGTCCTGGGCAGCCGTCATGGCCAGCACGGGCAGAGCATCGTTGGTGTTTGTGAGTCGAGCTTAAGAGATGGCNGCCCCTCCTTCCTGGCTTCCCGGGCCAGACACATCTTCAGGGATGGACAAGAAAAGGGCCACACCTCAGCCACCAGCCTGGCAGGCGCCAGTGGGAGCCACCCGTTCTGCGGCTTTGGGAAGAGGATCTGGCATGGAGGTTGCAGAGCCGGTGGTCTCCCAGGCTGAGGGCCACCCGTCCTTGTGGGTACCTGAGCCTGGCCCTGCTTGAGGGGACGTGTGTTGTCTACCACAGCGTCCTGGGCAGCCGTCATGGCCAGCACGGGCAGAGCATCGTTGGTGTTTGTGAGTCGAGCTTAAGAGATGGCCCCAACCCTGCCGACCCTCGCCGCCTCCGAGGGGGAGGGCAGGCAGCTCAACTGGGGGCAGCCCAGGGAAGGAGCACGGCAGGGGCCAGGCCGGGGAGGAGGACGGGCCAGCGAGGCAGGAACCCCAGATCCCTTGCGCCTACCTCTCCGGTGTGCCCAGGGAAAGAGCAAGGACAGGAAGGTGGGGCCGGGGCGGTGAGGACGGCCTGTCTGCCTCTGCGTTTTGCCCTCTTTCCCCAGCCCAGGGTGGGAGCCATGAGCAGCACAGGTGGGGTTAGGCCCAGCCAGGGCCCGGGCAGAGCGGGGCTCGGGCACAGGCGGGGAAGCGAGCTGGTGTGGAGGGGCTCCCACCTGGTCCCCTTGGGCCTGCCGCAGGCTCCCAGAGGCTCCGTTGGTGTGAACAGGAGGTCACGAGGGTGCTGGGTGTACATGGTGGAGGAGGGGAGAGGGAGACAGTGGACCACACAGAAGGCGGGTCTGGTGGCCTTCCCCTCGGTCGAGCTCCTGGCCAGCTCTCACGACAGTCACAGGTCACAGGGGTGGGTAGAGGCACACGCTCACAGCCACAAGCACAGACAGACAGACGTGCACACTGAGGCTGCCCGGGGACTGGTCAGCCAGTGCAGCGGGGGCACGGAGCTGGCTGCTGCCCATCCACCCTGGCTCCCCACCCACCTGACTGGCTGGCACATAAGCCACCCAGCCTAGGAGCCCACGACCTGGCCAGACCACGTCTCATGGGGAGTATGAGGGGCCAGCTGGGTGAGCACCACCTCCACGGCCTGGAACTTCTGGTTCTTGGGTGGGATGGGACACATCTTGTAGGTCACCTCGTCACCCTCCACTGGCACGTACTCCCCCTCGATGCTGGTGGGTGGGAGAGGGGGGTCAGCCCGACAGCAGGGCCCATGCCCCAGACAGCCCTGCAGCCTGGCATGAGGGGCAGCCTAGTCCTGGGGCTAGCAAGGCCGGGGAGCCTGGGCAGCCTCACTTCTCAGAGCCTCAGCTCTCTAATCTGTAAAATAAGAATCGTAAACTGTGCCTCCCTCTCTGTGTCGATGGGGATTGAGATTTGAAAGCGTGTAAGGAAGTCCTTGAGGCTCAGAGAAGCTCTGTGACCTCCCCAGGTCATCCCTGGCATCACAGGTAGATGGGGTCAGGCCCAGACCCACCTCTCCACCTCCTTAACCCCTGGCTTGGAGACCCCTTCCAGGCCAAGAGGACCAGGGGCTGCCCTCTCAGGCCCCATGATGCCGGAACAGGACCCCAGGACCCAGTTGGTGGTTCCCAGCGATCCTAGGGTCTGCCTGCTCCCTCCCCAGCTGGCCCCAGCCCTGCACCCTCAGCCCCTACTGAGAGGAAGAGCAAGATGCTGGGAATACAGACCTCAGCAAGCGAGGAGAGAGGTCTGGGGAAACATTTTTTGAGGCACTGCTGGGGTCAGTGGGGCAGGAACCCAGCCAAGAATAGGGAGGTGGAGGGACTCACTCAGATACGTGCACAAAGATGTCTTCGGACCCATTCTCAGGGGTGATGAAGCCATGACCCTGTGAGCGCGAGAACTGCTTACAGACGCCCTTGAACACGGGCCCAGCAGAGGCACGGGCTGTCCTGGGGAGAGGGTGGGAGGATTGGAGATGTCACCTGGGGAGCCTCTTCCCTGGACCCCTACAGCCTTCGTGGGCGCTGCCTCAGGGCTGCAGGAGACCTGCCCCAGGCCAGAAACAAGGTTCACTCTGTTCTCACATCATCCCCACGGACAGATAATGAGACTGAGGCCCAGAGAGGGGCATCGGCTCTCCCAGGACATCACTGCAAGTGGGTCTCCTGACTCCTGGCCAGTGCCCCTCTCTCCGGACGGCACTCTCCCCTCTTGAGGTTGTTTGGGCTTAAATAGATTCCTGTTATAAAGTTTCTGAGTGAAGAATGTCCGGCCTAGATTTGAATACCTCCCAAAATGGACAGCTCACTATCTATGAAAGCAGCTGAATCCTATTCCCTCGTTCCTCACTTATTCAACTAGGACATCATTTTCCTGATACCCCAGGCTGGTACCCCCAACGCTGCCAGGTGGGAATGGATGGTGACAAATTTCCTCTGGACTGTAAGCAGCTTGTGGGTTGGGACTTTGTGTTATTCATCACTGGATCCCCTGGTCAGGAGCTCAATGAATCTTTGTGGAACGAATGAATGAATGAAC